ATGAGATAGACAAGTAGCAATCTAGTGAATATAGTGATCTTAGGGAAAAATCCGTCCATGTGAACCAAAAGCAAACATAAAGGTTCTGGGTTTGAGCAATAAACTATTCCTCTTCTGAAGCTTTGAGAAATGTCACTTTGAAAAACTTTGAGTTATACAGGAATGTAACTACTTTATTCACAGATATGTAAATTTTTATGAGTACCCAATAACAAAATATATTAAAATACAAAAAAAAAAGATGATAAATCTTACCATCACATTGTAGCTATGTAGGATGAGATATACTTACTGTGGTTTCATCCATCTGAAAATCACCAGTTTTTAGCCCATAACCATATGGTATTGTAGGAACAGTTCCAGCTAATTTCCATGTATCACCATGATCTGAGATTATAATTAAGCAACAATTTTTTACCATACAAGACACAAATTCTTAAATTATGCATTTTGTCTTAGTCTCCTGCAACCCTGTCAGCTATAACTGGGCTATATCGTATCCCCGGAATATGATGTCTTCTGCAACCCTGTCAGCTATAACTGGGCTATATCCCATCCCTAGAATATAATGTCTCCTGCAACCCTGTCAGCTATAACTGGGCTATATCCCATCCCTAGAATATGTCTCCTGCAACCCTGTCAGCTATAACTGGGCTATATCCCATTCCTGTAATATAATGTCTCCTGCAACCCTGTCTGCTATAGCTGGGCTATATCCCATTCCTGTAATATAATGTCTCCTGCAACCCTGTCTGCTATAGCTGTGTGGTACATATCCCTAGAATAGGCCAATAGCTATATGTATAACCCATTCTCGGAATACAATGTGTACAAGAATTTAAATTCATATTTATTCATATATATTTATAACATTTTTATATTGGTAAAACCTCCATTTGTGTTCATAAAAACCTCTATTTTTATTCGTAATATCACTATTTGTATTCATGTATTCTATTTGAAATCTCCATTAGTAATATCTCCAATTGTTATCAATTTGTATTAAGAATCTTCATCTTTTGTACTTGTAAAATTACCATTTGTATTTCATAAAACCACTTGTGAACATTGAGGGCACTACTCCAGCTACATGTACATGTCACCTACACCCAATAGGTACAAGTGAAACTTTTGTCAAAAGTTTTCCCACACCAAAAGATGCTCTAATTTTCAGAAAACAAAATCCCACTAGGATGAGCAACCTGACATACCGCCCTCATGCAATAGAGTCAGAATTAAAGTTATTTTTGGCTGGTTTTCACAATAGGCTTTTTTTTAGCTCTTGTTTTCTAGGTAATTATCACCAAAACTCTTAACACGTTTTACAGCTTGGACATTTCAGGGTATACTGTTCTATATTCGAAAAATATCACTTTGACAGGATAAGGTATATATAGTCAAATACCCAGGGTGATTAATGTACACATAATGTAAACTTGTGATTTAGCAGTTTACCTGACAGGTATTTTAATTAGTTAATTAGGAAACCAAGATTACCTCCCTTGTCCACAAAACTATATATTTTCGGAAAGCTTATTGTATGAATTTTAAAGTTTTGTTAGTATTTTATTTTTATGGACACTGTAGTTTGAAATATGCACAAAAATGTGCTTTTTTGGTCAAAAGTGATTTAAAAAAAATTAGCTTCTAAACCATGCTTCTGTTTCCTGTCAAAATTGGTTTGTGGGTACATCTGTTTACTATAAAGAAAGTGCAGTCTTGAAAACTGTCTACCAGTTGTCAATTTTGTAGGATAGCAGCTCAAATTTCACTACTTCAAATTTATGCATAAATTAACATCCAGGCTAGTTGTCTGTACGATTGCTGTAACACTATTCAACTAAAAACAATGCCCTGACGGCGTTTTGAAGATATACACATTGACAATCATTTGTGAAAATTTCAAAACAAAAGGTCAAAGCGTCTAGGAGCTATTTTTTTTTTTAAAGTTCTGGAATGTGCACTAAAAAGAAGCTGAGATAATTGCTAATTTGCATCACAATTCACTCAGTAGAAAGTTTGCTAATGCTCATAATTAAAATAGCTGTTACAGTTTCAAATTTAAATGTATTATCGTTTTGTAAAAAGTTAAATACAGTGCATAATATGGAGATTCCATTATTTCTTTTTTTCACCATGTTTTTTTTTATTATTTATGTACAGCCTTGCTAAATCTTGCTAAGCATTCAAAAGAGATAATGTTTGCACCTGTTATCTATATTTTAAAATCGTTTTTTGAGTATGTTCCACTATTCACAATTCTACAGTCTATAGCCAAGACTTTTTGGATAATAAAAAGCAAAAAAAAAAAAAAAATTTCACTCCCAAGTGCCCACGAACCTGCATCTCTACCTTAATGGGTTTACCAAGTAACTCACCGTCACTAATAATGCAGTGCATTGCCTTAAATGTCTTGATCGTATGACCACATGAAATCAGCCTTCCTTTGTATGGTCCGATTTTTTTCTGTATACCATAGCCAGGTCCGGGGCAGTAGGCGAAGTTATAAAATATCGGATTTGATATTGACAAGTTCACTGGTTTACTCCAAGTATAACCCCAATCATAGCTTCGCATCATAAACACGGTTGGCAAGCTGTCTTTACAAACATTGTGTGGACAATGGCAATACAGAAACACCAAACTATTAACTGCATCGTCAACCGTGATAGTACCAAAGTTAAAATAATCAGTTTCTGGCCCAAGATCCTGTATGACAAAAACTGTCGGGTCCCATGACGCCCCTTTGTCGCGTGATCGTCGCATGGTGGCTATTTTTTGCGCAGTGTCACCTTCAGAATATTTTCTTGCTCCTGCAAATGCTAGTAAGTCCCCATTAGGTGTATTGATCAGCATAGGGGTTCTGTAGAAAGAAATATCGCCTTCATCTCCAGAGGTCCATAAAACTTGATCATCTACAATAAGAGGAGACAGACTCGCGTATGCTACAAAAATCAAGCAAAGCCAGAAGAAAACAGAAGAACTACTGACTACATGTACTGACATTCTGAAGACGACAAGTACGAGTACGAGAAAAGATTCAAATCAATCGCAAGTCACCTGACTTTCTGATTGTAGACCCCTTAAGTAACTACAAAGTCACACGTTTGTGTTAATTTTCACCACGTCCAGACAATATTATTATATTTTCAGTTTAGATTTTGTGGTGCCTACTTTTAGCAACTATAATTTATAAGCTAACTATATGTAGTTATAAACTGATTTCAATAAATACAGATTATGTTAAATACATTCTGATCATTAATAAGCCGCTGATTTTTTAAAACTCTGGAACGAGGACGACAGTAATTCTTGTTTCCGGGGTGATTTTTTCTGAGCCTGAGCAAAGAACCTGTTTTTTGTTTTCTGTTTTTGTTTATAAAGTGACGATTTTATCCTGCGTTATTCACCAAGATGGTAAGTATTGAGCTGCAATTTGTATAATTATGCGTTATCATTATAGTAATAATAATATACATCTCCAATCAAATAGACGACGTGTCTGCAAGTAAACGAATCGTAATTTAATTTAATTTAACGGCTTAGTCTTTTCCACGAAACGAAACGAAACGAAACGAAACGAAACCCAAACCCTAACCCTAACTCGCATTTTTTCTTTCATTGGCCCAATAATATCTGAGAAAATTTCACACTGTGAAATACGGACGTGACGATGTTTGAGGTCGTTCAAAATCTAAGGTTAGGGTTAGGGTTTCGTTTCGTTTAGTTTCGTTTTATTTTGTTTCATTTCGTTTCGTGGAAAAGACTAAGCCTAATTTAACGTACAACAAATGAATTCACATTTTTTTTTATACATTGTGTCTTATCACGAAATCCTTAATTGCTGTTAGGGTTGTCAGCATTGAAAAGTGTAACATGTAACATGTGTAATATTCTATTACTTTGAAAAAATGGTATTTAAAAGCAGTCCTAATGAACGCTTTTTAATTAACCACAGGGAGCCCAGAAACTACTTATAATCAACTGTAGTACGCAGTCTCTATGAGCAGGGGGGGGGGGGTATCGGCTGGCATCTAGTGTAAGAAATAGACAAAGGAGGCTCCACTCCAGCCAGCTCACATTTTTAAACTCGAAAAAACAGACGAAAAGAATGAAAAATAAAATCTAAAAAAAATACCAGGTTGAAGAATATTAGTTGCTCCTTCAAATTTCGCCAAAGCCTTACCTACATTTTACCGATATCTGCAGAATAAATCAAGAAAACTACACAAATTTAGGACTCCATTTAGGAATTCCTAACGGTTTGCCCAAATGCACGGCTCAGTTGGAGGCGTGGCCTGTTCGTCATTTTGTCAACAACCAGTTGAGCAAGGCTAGCCGAGTCGTGACCTCGATGTGGTTCGTAACCAGTCTTGTGCAGAATACTTAAAAAAGTGGGAACACCATTTATAATCTGAGTTTCAGAAATACTCAAGTTATGACTGACATAAAAAATAGCGCGAAAAGCGTTGTTACATGTATAAGCAACTCGCACAGCATTCAGATTAGCTTTGGAAAATACAGCCCTTAAATGCGAACAATACATCGTTGTACAGAAAGTTTTAAATAGAGTCAACCGGAACAAAACGCTTATTAAAATTACGTACCAAATAGTTGCCTCTTGCATAAAAAGACTTCATTGACACGTCATGTCACAACTATCATTGGTTAATGTGTTCACAATAACTCCTAGGTATAAATGATTACTAACGAAATCCAGCTTAGTACCATTTAGATAAACATGAGGAATACATGTGATACTACTACGAGGAGGCAGTATATACATACATTTCGTCTTATCAGTATTGAATTTGATGTTATGATTGTTGGCAAAATAAGTACAGGTAGTCAGCAAACTGTTCAAGCACTTCACAGATGGGCATAATAAAACTATGTCGTCTGCATACATTAAATGATTAAGACATTTTCCAGATAAATGACAACCAAAACTCGTATTGCCGAGTTCGTTGCTGAGTCCATCTATGTAAACAGTAAACAGGTGTGGTGATATAATACTGCCTTGCCTAACGCAATTTAATGTATGAAAACTTTTGGAGAAAGTAGATCCCTATCGTACTTTAAACTGTTGATTACAATACCAATACATAATAATTCTCACAATAAAAATTGGAACTCCTCTATGCAATAACTTGCGAAATAAACACCAGTGGCTAACACGGTCGAAAGCTTTTGAAGTGTCTAAAAAACATAAGAATACAGGACTATCATTACGTTTATAAAAATCAATCGTTTCTTTGAGTAAAAAAACACACATACATGTATCAGTGGAATGACCTTTTTTTGAAGCCAAATTGATAGTCCCTCATACGAAGATACCACAGCGCTCTAATATCAGATTCTCATACATGTACATCTTTGAGATAGCAGTAGCAGTGGGACGATAATTTCCAGTGCTAGTAATATCACCATTTTTATTTTTCACAATCGGCACCAACGTAGTTTCTAACATATTTGGCGGTAAATAGGCGTGAAAATGCGCCATCGTGAATAATAATGAAAACAAAATGAGAACACGATCATGTGCATTCTTAATATGCTCAGCAGAAATGCCATCAGGACCAGTCGATTTTCCAACAGCAAGTTCTTGTATGCTACATAGGATCTCTGTTGGATGTACGATCATGTCCTGTGATGAGTTTCCTTTCTGAGGTTTGCTTCTTACATATTGTTCGTCCTTGTCCGATGCACAGGATAGTAGATTTGCATAATGTTATTATGACTATTAACAAGAGCATCAGCTCTCATATTGCTTTCGTTATCTCTACAGAGTCTCAAAACATATTTAAATTTAGCTCGGGTTTTACACATTAAATCAGACAATGGACCTTGCCTAGGTCCTCCATTGTTACGCCATAACAGAAAAGCATCGCAAGCAATTGTGTGATGATCTTTTACATAATCATTCCATCCTGGTACACACTTGGATTTAATAGGTGCCTTTGATTGTATACAATTAATAGCCGCCTGTTTCAAAGCATTAGCAATTTCATCATAGAGTTTATCAATCGCCAATCGATGTCTTGCATCAAGGCAAGCAGAATCACGACAGGATAACACATCATGAGGTATAGAAATGCAGGACAGCATAGCTTCCGTCTGTTGTACATATTTGTGAATAGCAGACTTACTTACACTAGACCAGTCTATACGAGGCCTCAACGGTGTATCAATTAAATATTCATAATTTGGTAGATAATCAAAGTTGCATGTAATACTCAGTGGGAAATGATCCGATCCAATGTATTCGTGCAGTATTTTTACGTTACTAATAGATTTATGAGCTAAGACGTAGATATACAGTGATTCAACCACAACGTGGTATGATGAGCCTCACTGTAATACGTGAAGTTATTTTCAGTGCCCAAAAAGATAACGTCAGAACATGTGAGGCTGTTTTCTGTGCAGAAAGAATCCGATTCTTTACCGAATTAACTTTAGCATTCCAATCCCCAATGATGAGTACACTATTAGAAACTGTGTCATCAATACACCACCTACTTTATGTAGATATTCAATGTATTCATGGTAATTGTCCCCACTGTCAGTAGGCATATACACATTGATAATGGTCAACATATTATCCATATTCCCTATTTCTAATCCTAGTAACCGAGAATCATTGTAACGTTTAATTAATTTTCGTGGCTCCAAGTGTTTTCCTCCACAGTACTGCCACACCACTGTACGAGTGCCTGATGCATATTCCCGATATCTCATCTATGGCAGATTCTTGAACAGCGTAGAAGTCATCACTAATTTTAGTTAAAAATTTAAAGGGGAACCGCTCAATCCCATGGATTGCACCAAAGAATCATGGGACACTATTGTTTATGTTGTTTACAGTGTTAATCTATCTTTTGTTATCCATTGTTATTTTAATCCAGAAAGTAAATTTGTTGTGAAATTAATCTTAACTGGAAGGTGCCCCTTTAAGCTCAGATTGTGTGAGCCAGTGTTCCTGTAGTAGACATATATCACAGTTAGAACATAGATCTTTGACGTTTTCAACAGATGATTTGACGCGACAGTTATATGAAGTGATAGTTAACTTGTTATTCATCATCTTGATTGATAATATTTACGTACAAGTATGCCAGCAGGCCATGAAGAGGACGTAAGCACTTTGAAAATAGAGTCACGTGGTACGGTAATTACAAAGAATGTGTAAGAATCAAATTTAGATTTGAGTTTCTCACACTTTGCATCAATATGAATCGAACTCTTAGTATAATGTATTACTGAATCAGGTGCAGTCTCTGGGGCAAGTGTTGTTACAAAAAGTTTTACTCCAGGTTTCGAAAGAACAGATTTTAATTGGGAGCAGTCTCCTGCATTTCCGATTGTTGCCTGGGGGCGTTTCCCAGCTTTGTTTTTCA